GAATTTCAATGTGGAAAAGCTGAAACGCAAGCCTTATATTTGACTCTGTAACTTTTGAAAACACCATAAAACCTGTACACGAGGGGTACTGTTATACTCAGGAGACTTTGCTTAATACAAATATTTGTGTTTCAAAGCAGTAAAAAGTATTAAACCAATAATATTGTTAGTGTAAGTGCCGTTTGTGTGTGAAAAATGCAAATAACGTCACTTTCACTGACAATATCATCGTTGTAGTAAATTTTACGGTTTTGAAACACAAATATTTGTGTTCAGCAATGTCTCCCGAGTAAATCAGTACCCCCCATGTACAGGTTTTATGGTGTCTTGGTAAGGTTATAGGGTTAAATATAGCACTAGAAAATTAAATTCCCTATACTTTCGGCCTGGGTTGTCAGGCAGGTCCCGCAAATTGTAATTAATAAAAGGACCTAATTATGTAAAATTATTACATAAATATATATGTCAAAGTATTATGTATATATATAAGTGTGTATATATATATATATATATATATATATAATTTTTTACAATTATTTTTATTTATATATAAGTATACATATAGTGATATATACGTATATACTTATGTATATAAAAGAAACCAAGAGGGCTTCACTCACCTGAACATGCATACATTATAAGGTGCTGCTGGGGCCAAAATATACAAAATACAGAATCCAGCGCACTCGCTTATTCACTAAACAATGCTTTCAAATATTAGAGATTGTAATAGTTTTATTTAAAAACACCTCACCTAGGCAAAAAATTATGGGGGTTTAGTTACATTATATGATCATACATTGCATAAGCCTGCCAACTACGTCAAAGTACCCCATATTCGGCAGGTCCTATCCTAGTAGCAGCCTAATGCTTGCTCTTATGAGATTAATCCACTTACTTGGGAAATACTTTCCGACTGGGACTCTCTGCAAGTCAAGGCTAAATAGGGTTCTGGAATGAGGCACCTGTAATATAATAATATTGATTTTGTTTCTATATACATATTTTGCTAATAGACATTTGGACATTGCAAGACAGAAAAATCAGGACTTGTTGCTAGTTAACAGGACTATTGGATATAGTGAATATTTTTTAGGTTTACTTATTATTATTAATATCATTAGTTTTTATTTGGTAAATAACCTTCTGTGTATTTAATTAGCACTGGGTCACTTTTTCAAACCTTAATTGAGTCAAGAATCATCTGGTTTATATTCTGTTTAAATACGTCAATTATGATGTCACCTTTTTTGTTGTAATATATATAATCACGGTTTATTCATTGCATGAATTGTCTTGAGAAAAGTCTATTGTGACTGAAACGTCGACATTTTTGTATTCTGCACAATAAAGCAGTATTTATTTTGATATAAAACGAAGACTCCAGAGTGCTCTCTAATTGGATGCTATATATATATATATATATATATATATATATATATATCAATCGATGAAAGGGAGCACTCAAAAAGGACTTCAATACGGTGTATTTATTGTGACAAAAAGTTTACAACATAGTGTAAATAGTCCTGATCGACGTTTCGACCCCTAAGGGTCTTCTTCAAGATCAACTAACTAGTGAAACAAACGAAGTTTAAATACATAAGAGGAATATTGACTCACCCATCTTGTGTGTGCGGCAACTCATTCAAACCCGGAAGTGTCACGGAGACCCACGTGGTTTCCCCGGCATGCGTCTAAACGTGCTGCGTGGTTGCTAGGTGATAGAGTGTACACAATGTGATAAATGCGAATTTAGAAACCAACGTGACCGCAGTGTCTGTACTTTACCAGAATGTGCAATTAAAAAACCAAGTGTTCAGTGATCCATAGAATGACCACTGTATGGATTAAAAACAACTCTGAATTAAAATCAAATAAACTGGAAAAACAACTGTCTGTCACTGTGATCTCCTCCTGCAGATCGCAGTAATTGGCCACAGGGGGAGAGCCTGGATGGCCAGGTATGCCCCCACCGTGATCTGCAGGGGGATCCTGCCTGCAGTTACTATGTGTCAGCCAGTAGGCTGACACATAGTAACTCTGATTGCAGTGACAGGTGGTCAATGCGATCAGATCGCAGTGAGAGGCTGTCTCTGCGATCAGATCGCAGAGACAGCCTGTCACTGTGATCAAGCTGATCAGATCGCGGTCATTGACCGCAGGGGGACTGCCTGGGGGGCCAGGCATGTCCCCCGACCACGATCTGCAGCAGAAAATGCCACGGCTCCATGTGTCAGCCGATTTTAAAATCGGCTTACACATGGTAAAAACCGATTGCACTGACAGACTGTCACTGCGATCGGAGGCTGCAGACCGCGGTCACTGGGCACAGGGGAGCAGCCTGGGGGGCCAGGCATGCCCCCCGACTGCGATCTGCAATGGGGTAATGCTGCAGGCCACGTTGGTGGCATGGACGCCCATGATATGTTATGCTGTCCTGCGGCGTTTAGAGCCACCCCTTTAAGAACGGCATAGAACATCCTGCATCCTTAAGGGGTTAATATATTTACTTCAGAAATATATATATAAAACATCCAAGATCCTGCGCACTCACTCATTCATTAAAAAGCTCACCGAATGTAATTTTTTTTTTAAAACACCTAACCTAGGCAAGCCTGCCACAATGCCAATGTAACCCGATCTTGGCAGGTCCAACGGTTTATATACATATGCAATGAGTGGGTGCAATAATGTTTAGAATGTCTGAATAAAAGCCAAATCAACTTCTCAGCTATGTCTGACCAAACAAAGGGGAGTACCATTGAGACAGCAACCTTTCAGTATTCAACCCAAAAAATATGGTGCCATCTTGCTAAATAATCTCATGATATTTCATATGTAGTTCTCATACGATGCAGAAGGACTTTGTTTTCAGGCATCTTCTTAAAGGACCACTATAGGCACTCAGACCACTTCAGCTTAATGAAGTGGTCTGGGTGCCAGGTCCAGCTAGGGTTAACTCATTTTTTTTATAAACATAGCAGTTTCAGAGAAACTGCTATGTTTATATTAGGGTTAATCCAGCCTCTAGTGGCTGTCTCATTGACAGCCGCTAGAGGCGCTTCCGCGCTTCTCACTGTGAAAATCACATTGAGAAGATGCCAGAGTCCATAGGAAGGCATTGTGAATGCTTTCCTATGGACTGGCTGAATGCGCGCGCAGCTCTTGCCGTGCATGTGCATTCAGCCGGAGAGGAGGCAGAGAGGAGAAGGAGAGCTCCCCGCCCGGCGCTGGAGAAAGAGGTAATTTTAACCCCTTCCTCTCCATCCAGCCCGGCGCGAGTGGGTCCTTGAGGGTGGGGGCACCCTCAGGGCACTATAGTGCTAGGAAAACGAGTATGTTTTCCTGGCACTATAGTGGTCTTTTAAGGATATTTGGTGAAGATTTAAAGGAACACTATAGTCACCTAAATTACTTTAGCTAAATAAAGCAGTTTTAGTGTATAGATCATTCCCCTGCGATTTCACTGCTCAATTTCACTGTCATTTAGGAGTTAAATCACTTTGTTTCTGTTTATGCAGCCCTAGCCACACCTCCCCTGGCTATGATTGACTGAGCCTGCATGAAAAAAAAAACTGGTTTCACTTTCAAACTGATGTAATTTACCTATCTCAATCTCTAAATTGAACTTTAATCACATACAGGAGGCTCTTGCATTGTCTAGCAAGCTATTAACATAGCAGGGGATAAGAAAATCTTAATTAAACAGAACTTGCAATAAGGAAAGCCTAAATAGGGCTCTCTTTACAGGAAGTGTTACAGGAGGCTGTGCAAGTCACATGCAGGGAGGTGTGACTAGGGTTCATAAACAAAGGGATTTAACTCCTAAATGGCAGAGGATTGAGCAGTGAGGCTGCAGGGGCATGTTGTAAAACTGCTTCATTAAGCTAAAGTTGTTCAGGTGACTATAGTGTGCCTTTAAGAAGCCATGGGAAAAAAATTAGAAATAAGGTTAGGATTTCAAACCTAGAGGAAAGTGTCTGGATGACTGTTCTAGAACATCTTCCTTATAAGTAGGTTACTATAACTATTTTGCCCATTTAGGTATTGCCAATATCACACATACATTTCATAAATTTACTGTGGTTAAAATGTTTAGTCTACACTATCAACGATCTGCTTCTTTAATATCTCACAAACATTTTCTAGTTGTGGCTGTAGTTATCCACTTTTCAATGCATTCGTATCTGTCACCTTTTTGCGTCTTGGTTCCATAATACCGTAATCATATTTTGGTTATTTTGGCTATTGTCAGAAATATTTACAAAAGAATTGTCGAGAATTCGAGATGAAGTAAGGCCAGAATAGCCAAACTGGAATCATAACAGACTTGGAGATTTTTCCCAGTTCTGCTATTTTGTCATGAAATCAATTTGTAAATGTGCAATTATTAGTTTTATTCCTTTACATCCTCTCTCAATTCCTAGGCATTTTAGTTAAATCTTTTAAATCTGTTCTTGATCCCTAGGTGGTTTATCATGATTTAACCCCTTCAGGACGGAGTCAATAGTGCACGTTCTGATCAAAACAAAACGTAAACAAAAACTGGAATTTGCATTATATGTCTGTTCAACCGTAATTCACCGCTGTCACATTAAATGCACCCACACTTGTTATATATCATTTTGTTCAGGAGAAACAGGGCTTTAATTTATAATTAACTATTCAAATATGAATCATAATTTATGAATAAAATTTAATAAAATGTGAGAAAATAATTTTTATTTTTTTATTTTTTTTTATTTGTATTTCAGTCTGACATTTTAGCTGTGAATGTCATAATACTGTTAGGTTTTACTGCAAAAAAATGCACATATTTGTAATCAGTGATGTCTCACGAGTACAACAGTACCCCTCATTAACAGGTTTTATGGTGTTTTGGAAAGTTACAGGGTCATATATAGAACGTTCCATTTTCAAATTGAAATTTGCCAGATTAGTAATGTTACCTTTGAGATGGTGTGGTAGCCCAGGAATGAGAATTACCCCCATAATGGCATACCATTTGAAAACGTAGACAACCCAAGGTATTGAAAGTGGGGTCTTCTTTAGTAGCCACTTAGTCACAAACACTGGCCAAATTTAGCATTCATATTTGTTTTTGTGTGAAAAAAGCAAAAAACTAATATTTGGCCAGTGTTTGTCACAAACACTGGCCAAAGGTAGCATTCATATATGTTTGTGTGTGAAAAATGCAAAGAACTAAATGCTAATTTTGGCCAGTGTTTGTGACTAAGTGGCTACTAAAAAAGACTGGACGTACCCCATTTGCAATATTTTGAGTTGTCTACTTTTGAAAATGGTATGCCACCATGGGGGTAATACTAATTCCAGGGCTACCATACGGTCTCAAAGGCAAAATAACCAATTGGGCAAATTTCAATGTGAAAAAAAGGTAATGCATGCCTTATATTTGACTCAATAACTTTTGAAAACTCCATAAAACCTTTACATGGGGAGGTACTGTTGAACTCGTAAGACTCCACCAAACACATATTTTAGTGTTTCAAAATAGTAAAATGTATCACAACAATAATACCATCAGTGAAAGTACCGTTTGTGTATGAAAAAGGCCCAAAAATTCATTTTTACTGACTATATCATCGTTGTGATATGTTTTACTGTTTTTAAAAACTAATATTTGTGTTCAGCAAAATCTCCCGAATAAAACAGTACTCCCCATGTACAGGTATTATGGTGTCCTAGAAAGTTACAGATTTAAATATAGGGCTTGCAAGCCAAATTCTCTGAACTTTCTGCCTGGGTTGTCAGGCAGGTCCATCAAATTTTAATTAAGAAAATTACTTGATCATGTAAAAATATTATATAAATATATTTGTAGAATTTAAATATATATGTATATATTTGTATATGTATATGTTACAGAAGTCCCCTCTGTCTGCTACAACCCAGTTATTTTGCTACTTTTGTTGCTTTATCCGAACAGCTATTGCAAGCCATTCATATATACGAATGGCCGACCACCCGGCCCTTGGCGTGTGCCACCAATTAACCGCGTTTATCGAATAAACCGTCGAACGGGTAACCACCCTACCTGAGAAGTGTGCCTACAATCAACCACCCAGGAGCTGTGGTTTGTGGTTAACCGCAGCCTAATTATCTGTCATAAGGGTGGTCACCATTCATATGTAAAAGGTCGAACTGGTTACCGAACCAACAGCCAAACTAACTCCCGAATGGACAGCCACCCTGCCACTGGTGCATGCCCCCAGTTAACCACCTTGAATCTTTGGTTCTGTGCTTAATCGCAGCATAATTGATCATCGCCAGGGTGGTCATCGTTCGCATGCATGAACACGTGGCGGCGGCCATCTTTTATTGTCGAACTCTGGGATACCGATCATGCGCAAAACAGCCGAGCTCTGGAGTAGTTCATCAGAATGTGAGTGGTAGCGACTTATTTATCCACCACATATATGCTATATGTATATATTAGTGATGTCCCGAACGGTTCGCTGGCGAATAGTTCCTGGCGAACATAGCGTGTTTGCGTTCGCCACGGATGGCAAACATATGCGATGTTCGGTCCGCCCCCTATTAATTTACTAATACTAAGTAAAAATTACTTAGTATTAGTAAATTGTGCCCCTACTCGAAATACCGCGAGTAGGGGCATGTCTATTAAACAGTGAGCAGCCTGTGGCTGCTCACTGTTTAAAAAAAAAAGGGTCCCCCCCGGTGGGGGCCCTAAATACTAATAGGGGGGGACCTATTGTCCTCCCCCCGGCCCCCACCCCTGAGCGGTGGGTGGGGGCCCTAAAAATACCAATAAGGAGGGGACCTATTGTCCCCCCCCCGACCTCCACCCCTGAGTGGTGGGTGGGGGCCCTAAAATGAACAATAAGGGGGGACCTATTGTCCCCCCCAGCCCCCACCCCTGCGCAGTGGGTGGGGGCCATATTGATAATGAGGGGGGACCTACTGCCCCCCCGGCCCCCACCCCTGCACGGCGGGTGGGGGCCATATTGATAATGAGGGGGGGGACCTACTGCCCCCCCCGGCCCCCACCCCTGCGCGGCAGGTGGGGGCCATATTGATAATGAGGGGGGGACCTACTGCCCCCCCCGGCCCCCACCCCTGCACGGCGGGTGGGGGCCCTAAGTAAATTCCCCCCCACCAAGGTGACTAGGGGTCCCCAAGCCCCTAGTCACCCACCCCCACCCAATAAAAAGTCCCTACCTACCTCCCTCACCCTAAAAAATAGTGAGGGGGGAATAAAATTAACCTGTAAAATAAAATTAAACTTACCATTCGACATCTTCTTTTTTCTCAAATCTTCATTTTTCCCCCCAAAAAAGGCTAAATAAAAAACCATCATAACCGTCCAACTAAAAATAAAAAATAAATCCCGAGCGCAAAAAAAAAAACCAAACGAAAAAGAAAAAACCCGAGCGCAAAAAAATAATCCATCTTCACCCATGGACGGCTCCGCCCAGACTGAGCTCCGCAGGGCGGGGGAAGGCTTATAAAGCCTTGCCCCGCCCTGCAATTAGGCTAAGAACACTCTGATTGGTGGGTTGGGGGCCCTAAAATGAACAATAAGGCCCCGGCCCCCACCCCTGAGCGGTGGGTGGGGGCCCTAAAATGAAAAATAAGGGGGGACCTATTGTCCCCCCCGCCCCCACCCCTGCGTGGCAGGTGGGGGCCATATTGATAATGAGGGGGGGGACCTACTGCCCTGACGAAAAAAGAAAAACCTGACGAAAAAGAAAAACCCCGAGCGCAAAAAAAAATCCATCTTCACCCATGGAGGGCAACATGCAGATTGAGCTCTGCAGGGCGGGGGAATGCTTATAAAGCCTTGCCACGCCCTGTAATTAGGCTAAGAACCAATCAGAGTGCTCTTTGTCATTTTACACAGCGTTGGAAAATTCAAAAGAACTTTCCCACGCTGTGTAAAATGACACAGAGCACTGTGATTGGATGGCTTCAAGCCATCCAATCACAGTGCTCTGTGTCATTTTACACAGCGTGGGAAAGTTCTTTTGAATTTTCCAACGCTGTGTAAAATGACAAAGAGCACTCTGATTGGTTCTTAGCCTAATTACAGGGCGTGGCAAGGCTTTATAAGCATTCCCCCGCCCTGCAGAGCTCAATCTGCGTGGAGCCCTCCATGGGTGAAGATGGATTTTTTTTTGCGCTCGGGGTTTTTCTTTTTCGTCAGGTTTTTCTTTTTTCGTCAGGGCAGTAGGTCCCCCCCCTCATTATCAATATGGCCCCCACCTGCCATGCAGGGGTGGGGGCGGGGGGGACAATAGGTCCCCCCTTATTTTTCATTTTAGGGCCCCCACCCACCGCTCAGGGGTGGGGGCCGGGGCCTTATTGTTCATTTTAGGGCCCCCACCCACCGCTCAGGGGTGGGGGCCGGGGGGGACAATAGGTCCCCCCCTTATTGTTATTAGGGCCGGGGGGGACAATAGGTCCCCCCCTTATTGTTATTAGGGCCCCCACCCACCACTCAGGGGTGGGGGCCGGGGGGGGAGGAAAGTAGGTCTCCTCCCCCCCCTTCAATCAGTAAGAGTCCCTGTGGGTTTTAAAATTCGCCTGCCCATTGAAGTCTATGGCGGTTCGCCGGGTTCGCCCGGTTCGTGAACATTTGCGGAAGTTCGCCGTTCGCGTACCGAAAATTTCATGTTCGCGACATCACTAGTATATATGTGAATATATATATAATTTTTAAAATGATTTATATATATATATATATATATATAACTTTTAGCACGGCACAGGTACGAAATAACACTGCACTTTTGTTTATCAGTCAACTAGCAACCACATAACGCACACGCTCACGTGTTCTGCCTGTGCACTTCTGAGTTCGGAGGGACGGAGCCACACACGTGGTTTGGTAAGTGTTCATCACTAATATTGTATTTAAACTTATCAATTGCACTGTATCTTGAAAAGACCCTAAGGGGTCGAAACATTGATCGGGACAACTTATGAATAATATTTAAATAAAGTACACGTTTGGACTAAGACCTATGAGT